AGAGCGCCAATCAAGCTCTTCACCACTCCTTTGGCCACTGGAAGCTACTCGAAGCCAGAGGAGTATGTTCCATACATTCTGATCATCCAGCGGACTTTGCATTTCCGTGGTTCTCCTAGGGCCAAGGGAAAGGGTTTCGGATGGGTCGGTTTGCACACTTCTTTAAAGATTTAGCAGGCCTTTCCTCCATCTCTATCGCGAGCGGACGCTTTGCCCTACTGTTCAGTAGCAGGCATCCTTGATCATTATTGCCTGTCGGGCTCCCCTCTAAGCATGAAACATATGCAAGGATGCCTGTTTGCCGTGTTTAAAGTCCCATTCCCTGCCGCCTTGGGCTGTTGCTTTTTTGGCGTGCTAGTTGTGGTTTGTTGACTGTTTTCCGGCTTTGTATCCCTTGACTCACATGTGCCCCCTTTCGGATGGTATTGAAAGGACCCCGACAGCCCGTGAGAGTGTTCCTGTTTTCGAGAAGCACCGCACTGTCCAGGAATATGGCAGTTATTGGAGACCACAGCGGTAAACAACAAATGAGACTTGTCTTTCTCTCCAGCACAGAAAGTGAAACACCCATCATCATCATCATGTTCACTTACTGGCAGTGTTGCGGGCCAATCTTAGTGGACTCTTGCCTGTTGTTTGGTATGACTCTAGGTGGGCTTTTGGACAGTTTCCCAGGAGGAAAGGTAAACCGCCAGGTAAACCGTAGTGTACCAACATGCTTCTTTTCAAGATGGGCCCTGCGGGAAATACCCAGTTCAAAGTGGCCACGTTTTGGATCTGGTCACCTGGTTGTGTGCAGGGTTTGCTATGTGTCCTTCTGGGAATCCGGTGTGAGCCCTGCAAGGTGGCTTGGAACTGGCTCCTTGGCTGAGAGATCTTCGGCTCGACCATGGGCAACCAAGGTTCCGTTTGCATCGAATCAGCAAAATACGCGCTGTTCCCAGTTGCCGAGTGGCACCCTTTTTTCCTTTTCTTTGGGAAGGGTTCCCCTTTAAACTCAACCAACCAACAAAGGATGCCCTTTTTGTCCCCTGGCCACTGGGCATTTGAGTGTTCGTTGGAACCCACCTGGAATCCAAAGGAGTCACCAAAGGTTTGCAACGGACGCGCCGACCTTGGAGACAGCTGAGGGTCAGCAAAGATGGCCGCTTCAAGGCATTGAAGATGCAACGAAGGGGATTGGTGAGTGCCCATTTTGGTGGAGGGTCGTATGCTCTGGTTTAGTTTGTATGAGCCCCAATAAAATAATCAACTTGACAGGACCAAAAGTCAGAAGATTCATGGCGCTGCGTAATTGGCTTAAGAAAAGACCAAAGAGCGCACTTTGTGCCTTTAAGATCCGCACGGATGCCTGGCTGTCAGGAAAAGCGCTGTGGCACCCTCCGAGTCGAGTGGTTCCTTCAGATCCGATTTGCTTCCTACGAAACCAGGTAACTGAGACGGATCCACTCAGGCATCACTCAGCTGTGATTCAAGATTGCTGGTAATTCAGGATCAATCTCTGTAGAACACGGTGAAGCCCTTAGAATGGGATGCAATACTTGATGAGTGTGGGTTTGGCTTGCTCAATGTGTGGTGTTGCTTTCCTCATTATTTTAGTGCGTTCTTGCGGACAGGCAGACATGGAGACAAAAAGACGCACACACGAATTTTCGACCATTTCTCCTTAGGAGTCCTGACATGATGCGAGTCCCAGAGTTTCATGTTTGACCAACCTGGGACCTGGAGCCGTCTAGAGGCTCTGGGACAACATCGAGACGTTGCTCAAGAAGACCATGGGCAAGCCGCTGATGCGGCTCTGGCCGCGCTCAGCTTGTCGAATCCGGCGCTATGGCAAGGCCTGATTAACCTAGATGCAAGAGTCAAATGTACTACGTATCCACCTTAGAAATCCCAGGTTCCAAGCTGCTCTATATGTGTTATATGTTCTACGTGTTGCATAAACATGTACACATACAGTGAGAAGAAGTATTTAGAGAAGGAACACTTTCGGACGGGTACACCTGCCGGCGACATGAACAATCGCAGTTCTCTTTTTGCAGACGCACGAGCCATTTGGCCGTCAGCAAAGTCTGCGAACGCCTTTCCATACCGTAGCCGTTTTGCGGGGAGTACCTTTTTTGCCAGCTTGGTATAGTTTAGGCGTGCTTGGTGTAGGAAACCAAGTTTTTAGCCATGGGATTCAATTGGATTCCTTTCGGAGGTACTTTGAGCTTCAGGACCCAGTGATGCATGCTTTCCTGTTGCCTGCGACATGGGCACATGCTTTGTTTCGCAGCGGGTTCAGAATTCGTGATTTGGACGAATCATATCCACAATCTGCGGCTCGCCCAGAGTAATGATTGAAAGTTGCCGTCTAACTGCTTCGGATCGAGCGACCACCCATTTAGGGATTGATTGAGTTGGCGAGGTCTGCAGACCGAGCTCCCAGTGTCAGGAAGAATTTCCAGAGTACCCGAATAGTGCCACCAAGGACTCCAAGCCATGAGAGTCTCATGTCAGGGATACGGCTAGATTCCGGTGTGAACCCTTCGGCCGATCGGTTTCTCCGAGGTGGGAGCAGACACTCTCGAACATGCTGGGAGAATTGAGCGAGGATCAGCTGTATACCTATCGTTCGAACCTCTATGAGCGGTTCTTCTCTACCATTCCTGCAGGCGCAGCGCGTTTTTTTGCATCATTGGCGTGGTTTGCTTTGCAACGACGCTGGACATATATTCTGTATAGGCTTTGGCGGCTTTTTTCCTGCAAAAATGTCAATTTGTTGCGCGTGACCATATCATCCACACATAGCTACTATAATTGCACGCAACCCCATTGCTACGGTAGCTGCACTTCAGTCGTAAGCGCACTTTTGCGTTTCTGCGGTATTCAGCCTAATCATGCCGGCTTTTTCTGGCGGGCTGGAGTTTTCCTGGACATTCGTATTATCGTTATTGTCAGGGTGGGTTCATTTGAACCATATGCGGCTGCCGGTTTGCACGACCCAATCCTTCAGGTTGAGCAAACCGCTTTCCAAACATTTTTGAGGGTTCAACCCATTATCATTGAACGGTGTGTATGTGTAAGTGTAGTTTGTGTGTGCGTGTGTGTGTGTGTGTGTGTTGAGTGTTTGCTACCATAGATATCCCTTGCAGTCCTATGCGTTCAGCTCGCTCATGCTTTGCCAATTCGGATTGTGTGTCAAAGTTTGCGATGGCTTCTGGGCTCATGTTTGAAGACAGCCAACTTGAAACCGACCAATTCGAGATCAGGGCGGCAATCTTTTTTGAGGAACCTCGTTTGGGTGGGTTTGAAAGTGGAACCAAAGGAAACCAACCATTTGGGGGGGGTCCCTAATTCTTGAGATAAACCCGGGCACCTGAACCCTGCTTCGTCGTTTTCAGCACATGACCTGTTGATGTTTCCCGCATCCTCTTGGTGCTGTTTGTTTGACTACGTTTGACGACAACGTCATTCAGGGTCAATTTGTTGTTGTTCTTTTCAGCTAAAAGCAGATCCCAGCAGAAACCAGCTGGCTCAAACCCCGATGTTCAACCTTTGCCTCGGACACATTAATGTTAGCCCCTTATTTTTTGAGACGCTGCCTGGTAGACCGTTTGTATACATAAAGGTGTTAACGTTTGTCGTTTCCTCGCCGTTGGATTCCTCGGAGAAATCTCAGCTGGACCATTTTACTACAAGGGATCAACTCAGCCTAAATTATTCAAATCGGGTTTTGGGGTGCCATAAAACCAAATTAAGTCGGGTGATCGGAACTGCATGCTGATCATAGATTGGTATTGCATGGTTGGTGTCACACAGGTCCCTACATGTCGTTCACGTCAAGCTGGTTGAAAGATGGATTGCACTGGCTTCAGGTTTGTTTCGAAACATGTATGAGTGCCGTTTAATTCCAGAAAGACACCCAGGCTACGTCCACATTAACAACCGTCCCAACCAGGGTCCCTGCTGTCAATTGGACTATTGCCATGGACGCCAATTGTCAAAACCTGCCAGTATTCTCATATCAGACAAGTTCCCTATTTCCACCTTTGAAAATATAGGTGCCACCAAGAGAACCAACCAGAACAAAGCCATCCAGTTGCTTTCGTATTTTTTCCTGGTTCTTTCGGCTTTTTCCCGCGAGCATTTTTTTGGGGAGGTCAGGACTTCTTCAAGCAGAGCAACACGCGTCTCCACTTCATTGCTGAGCGGGCCACGCAGATGTCTCTGGAGCTTCTGGGGGAACCTTGGCAGATGGTGGACGACATCTCGGCCCTAGGCCTGCGACACGTGGGCTACGGCATACCCACAGACGCTCGGCCAAAAAGTGCAAGTTTGTCACTTGCTACCTGGATAGTTTCAAACTGGACTGTGTAGAATTGGGGTCTTTTAAGAGTAGCAGGTGGCATCATGTGCAGCTTGGAATTGGAGGATCAAACAGGAAACTGATGCAACGTGAATCGACCCGAAGGGCTGGACCGCGTCCCTCAAACTTGATTCCACATTGCTATGTCTTGTTCAGAAGGCTCCGCTACTCATCAAAAAACAACTATGGCATGGTTGAGCAGTGACCAAACTCCTCTCAATTTTCCTTTGGGTTTTGAAAGGGTTCTGGTTACCAAGGGAAAAAGGAATCACTGGTGCTCAATGAGCGAACAGCCGGGCGTCGGGCATCGGGCGGGTCGGTTGGTTGTCTCCAGTGGATTTGAGGGTAGCCATGAGGTATCTCACCAGCTGTTGATTTAGATCAATGAATGACTAGTGCTCAAATTGGGGTGTTCAGCTCATTTCTAAATCTTGAGAGTTTGAGGGATACGTTTGCGATTTAGTCTATCAGTTTATCCAGATTTGTCCACTGGCTTCTTCCAAATACGGCAGAATGAATCATACATGACCACGGTCTTCTTTTGGGAAACATGGGAAAGGAATAAGTACATTCTGCGGGGTTGAACCGGGAACCAGAAGCACATCTAAAATCCATTGCTGGGCCCCTAAGCATATACGTGTGGCAGTAGGCGGAGATCGACGTGACGGTCGCACTGGAGGCGCCAGAAGCGGACATGTGAAGTTCAGAGAAAATATCCAATGGCGAACGGTCAGTTTGGGGTACGGGATATGAGGGACCAATGAGAATTCAGTAAACACCGAGACAACACATGACCCAAGATAAACGTCCTTTCCTAGGGATCCCTTTAAATGCGATTAGTGGGTTGTTGCAATACTTGCGCAGTGCAGATTTAAGCAGCCCTTCTCCCTGTTGCGAGGGGGCTGAGGGGACAGGGACTTTGGGTTCATGTGGGTGCGTTGCCGACATTGGAAAGCCACCACCATGCACATGCCCAAGATGGTTTTCACAACCCACCACTCCCCTCCGGATGACCACGGGGAGTATGCCTACTATGAATCAAACTACCAAGGCTGACCTTCGCAGGAAGTTAATTTAAAACTTGCGAGATTTCTATGCAGGTGCTTGCAAAGAACAGGGCGTTGAGGTGTGTAGCATCACTGGGCAACTGGCGACTGGTCGCTTTCGTGTATCTGGATGGTGAATCAAGGGTTTTTGTCCCCCTTGGAAAGTGGCAACGTAGTGCTTGAAGAGTGCAACAAGTGGTGACTTGGTGGAACCCGCAGTTGGCATCCAAAATGTTGCCTACAGAAAACCGCAAACACACAAGTTGTGAGCATCACTTGCTCATGTTTCCTGTGGGGCAAATTTGGTTGGATGACTTGCTGCGCATCTGCAATCGTGTCATATGCCTTATTTAGGATCTCTGTTGAATCAAGTTCACATTTTAAGGTGCCCAACTATCCGGGCAGATGATTGCAACGCCCCCCATGATGAAAGTGTCTTTCATAGGGATCCCTGGTTCTCGGTTGGTGCATTCTACGAATTTGCCACCTGAAACATGGCGTGTTTGGTTGGGGGCAAAAGCTGAGGCAACTTCGATTGGTTGACAATCTGCTCCACAGGCTTGTCACTTCCCTAGCCTTGTGACAGGTACTGGTAGCACCCAAATCCGATTCCCATTGGCAATTTGGGTAGAAAGGCCAAAGCCTTTGTGACAATGTGGTAGATCCCAAAGTCAATTGGTTTTGGGGCTGTCACGTGAATATTTGTTGAAGCAACTCATCCTCACCCGTTGATAGATTTGGGGGAGGGGGCGACCCCTGCAATTTCATTTATAGAACAATGTTTCCTTTCGCGGGGAAAACGTTGTTGTTTTTGTTTTTTGAGGGGGGTGAGGTGGAATTCTCATTTGGTTGTTTTTACAGCGAAACCAAGAGGAAGCCAACCATTGTCAGGGTTACCCTGCGAGGCAGACTCAGGTGGGGGCAAGTCACAAGTCTTCCAGTCGTGAGCTGCCGTTTTTGAGACGGTTTCTCGCTGCGCCTGGAGTATTTGTGGCTCATGTGCCGGCATGGTTTTGAACGCATATGGAAGTGCTGCATTCTGTGGGGTCTGCCTATTTTGACCCAGTTTCACTTGTCACGGCAGCAATCCAAACAGAGCAGAGGGCTGCGGCAATCAGAGGTGAAAACCCTGAGTGCAGATTCTTGCGGGACCGAAGCCTTGTCCGCAGCCCGTCCCGCACGGCGCCTGTAGCCGCAACCAAAATCAAAGACTGCGCACCACCCACCACCGCCACCACCATAGCCCAAGCCAAGAAACCGCCCGGAATAGGCTAAGTTTTTTTCACCCACCGTAGATAGCAAAGATTCCCTGGAGGACTCAATCTTGAGACACCTTCCCTCCCCCCGCCCCCTTTCGCCTGTCAGCCCAGACAAAGCAACTTGGGCAGCGGCATGTGATGCGATTTCCGCTGCTGCCTTGGGAGGCACCTGGAGAGATCCCCGAAATCCCAAAAGGTGGGTGCTCCTTGTGGCTTCCCTTTAAACGTACAGAAAAAGACACGCAAATTCCCGCGCTTTTCTCAGAACCAGTTTTTTGGGAGAAACCAAAAGAGAAAATGGAGGTGAATAAAGAGATTTGGCGGTGTCTTGAGAAAAGGCTCTTGAAAAAGCCATCCAAAACGTCCACTTTGGTGGGAAGAGGTATTGTTCCCTTTTTGAGACTGATGTAAAAGGGAACCCCAGGAAGCCCGCCATGCTGAGGTTCGACTTTCAACTCTTCAGGCCATGGAAAACGGAGAAAAAAGAAGAGAAACCGTGTTGACGCCAACCAATGTCCGGATGCTTCATGTGTTCTAGTCCTCGACTGTCGCAATATCTCAACACTGCCAGGAAGCTTCGCTGCACAGATCTCAATTCGGCAAGCCGAATACGTGGAGCAAGTCGAGGGAACAAGCCACACTTGCGTAGTACTTGTGCCGCTTCCTAAAGGTTTGCACGCAGTTTCTATCTGATGACCACGCGTACAAACAGTTTCTACTTGAGTGATTGCAAAGACATGTGTTTGGTGCAGCAAATGCTTGTATACTGAGTGTAGATAGAAGTCATATGAGGGCCGTCCTAAACCCCCAGTCTTCGGTCTGAATTATCTCCGAACGGCGAAAAGTAAAAGTTGCCAAAAGCTGTGCGCGCGCAAGGAGCACGCAAGTGCGGCCCAAGGGACCCGCAAGGTTACAGTTTTAAAGGGTTGCATGCACTGATGTTGCCCAGCTTCATGAAAGGAGGTGATACTTGTTTACTGTACTTGTGCTTTTCGAACGTTGCTTGGGTCATGTGTAAGGCGCAAGCTTGTTTGCAAAGGTGCGGCGTTTTCTTCAGTCAAAGCTTCTGCGGTCATGACTTCAACAATCAGCAACTGACGCGACAAAATCCGCGCAAGCTGCGCGCAAGCCGCGCGCAAGTTGCGCGCAAGCACGAGAAGCCCCAGCCAGACATCTAGCCATTTGCTGTCTCACACACATGTCCTTAGCAGCGCTGTTCAATCACTGGATATGCAGCCGCGCGTTCCTTCTTTCAGGCTGTGTCCAAGCTGTGTTGTGTGGCAGGGCCTGCTCTTCTTACTCTGGCCTAGAACTGCTGGGAGCGACCTCAGCGGGAAGAGCCTTTATGAGTTACTCTACTTAAAAAAGCTTGCGCGCAATCCACACGAAAACTTTGTAAACCGAGGTCAGCGAATCTAGTTTCTGCGCCACTGTGCGCGCGCAAGTCCGCGCAAGTGCCGCGCAAGTGCGGCCGAAGGACCCAATCCCGGGCAAAGGGATATAGGACAACCCCCATGTATACATTGATGCAAGCTGAACCCCCATTGTGATCCACTCCCAGTTGCCTTTTATCCATGCATATAAATACTATGTATATATATATATATATAAATATGCACATGCACACATACATACATGCATACGTACGTACATACTTACATACGTACGTACCTACGTACATACATAAATACATACATACAAGCATGCATACATTTATATATATATATATATGTAGACATAGGCTCATGTATGTGTATACAGATATATGTATATATATATATTTATATTATTTATTTACTCATTTGTTTGTTTGTGTATTTTCTTTTAAGAAAGTATATTTATTTATGTATTTATTCATTTCTTTCTTTACTTGTTGATTTATTTGTTTATGTATGCATTCATTTATTTATTTATTTATTTATTTATTTATTTATTTGTTTAATCAATTAATTTCATTAATTAATTACTTATGTGTTATGTGCTTTTTTTGCTTTTTACGTAGTTGTTTATTTATTCTATTTATTATACACTCATCCGCGCATATGTACTGCACAGACCCCGTCTCATCTGTAGTTTGGCAGCAGCGACCGGAGGTATGCGCTTTTTCCGCGGGGAGAACAATGATCCAGAGGAAGATGCTTGCCGGAGGGTGGGGAAGAGGGTACAGTGGGGTAGGCTTAAGGGTAAGGACCCCAGTTTTTCATCGCAGCTCTAAGGTGGTTTCTACTACCCTGAAGCCAAAGCTACCCCCTATAGAGGTTATACACCCCATTTCCCCATGGGCCAGAGAGGAAAATGTGCAAGTTTTTGTGCGCCGAAGGGAGTTAGAGGATTCCCTCACAAAATGTACCCTTCCCACAGTTGGCTATGAAATTTGAGAGTGGACCACCTCAAAGTGGTTGGTGGACATGAATTTCTAGATTTCTAGACGATGTCCACAGGGCAAAGAGAAGAACATTGTACATATTTGCCCTTGTCTAGAATGACGGTGGTGGAAGAGATTTAGGTTTGGGGTTCAATGCTGGCCAAGTCTGCTTTCTCACACGCCCAGTGTGTTTGAGTTCTACTTTTTGGGTTTTGACCAGGTGTTTTGCGGAGAGATTCTTGGCAAGGCCATAGCAATTGAAGGATGGCTGTCAACAGTCAACTGTTTAATACGGTTGGTCCGAACCTCAAAAACACATAGGTAGAAGCTTGGTCTTGCTTGTTTGTCTTTTTCAAGTTTCTGCCCTCGAAGGATCGAAAAGGACCGCGAACTGAACCAGGCAAATACTTTGGACGCTGCCACTTGCGCCATGGCTTGGGCATACACCTTCTACATGCGTCCCTTTTTTGGTTCACCCTTTGCGGGTGGTAGAAGCCAAGCGAAAGGAAACCGCCGATCATGTGTGTGACCTCACTTCACGGCACTCTTTGAGCCCCCTACCTGCAAGGGCCCTGAGATATTTTCAGAGGATACTTGAAAATAGGGTGGCGCTTTCAACTGGCGCCCCCTCCAAAACGTTCTATATTTTGGGGTTGGCCAACTATCGGACAAAATCATGCTACTGAATCATGCTGCTTGTCTACCCCAGACCCTCTATTTTGAGACACCCACAGCCTACGTTTGACACACGGCCACGTTGGCAAATGAGCACGGGGAAATGGGCGCCTTGGCATGGGAACCCTCAAAAGTGGACATGCATCCAATCATGTAGTTGCCTGTTGCGAGCTCCCCCCGGAACAAAACAAGCGAAAGCCATGATGTAGGTCCTTCACTAGGGGATCCTGATTCTTACTTCAGGTTTCGATGTCGAATTTGCGTTGCCAGACTTGGCTTACCGGTTACTTGAAACGCGATTTGGTGCATAGGACTCCTTTTCAAAAGTATGGCTCTTCCAAGAAACCGAGCCCCA